CAGTGAAGCGATGTCCTCCACAACTAGACTGAAGAACAAAACGACAGCAACTTGTCTGTTCCCCTTCTCCAATTCCCCAGCACTGTTCCCTTCCCCCCAATTCCGCAATAAAAATCTTTAAAAAAAAAAAAAAAAAAAAACATTCAGGAGCTGAGGCGCAAAGGATAAGTAATTGTGCCTGAAGCCAGAGGACTGGGGATTTAGACTCGTCTGACTCTAAAGCCCACTGTGGTCTGTACCAAGGTGGAAGAGGGGCTGCCCTTGAAGCTCTTAGCCCCCAAAAGCGAAGAAATCTTCAGCCCCCAGTGACAGGTGTTGTGCAGGCCAGCTGGAGTTGGGCAGTCCTCGGCCCTCATGCCCTCGGCGGTGCGCTGCCAGGCTTCTCTCCAGCAGGACAGCGGGCAGTAGTTTGTCCGCACAGGCAGTGCCTGTAGGAGAACGGCCGCGAGTTCTCCCCATGACCCAGGTGGCTGTGTCAGGCGAGGGTTTAGGATTGGAGCAAGTAGACGGACTCAGATTTTGCCAGATAGCCTGGCTGCTCCTACTCTGCCTGGAGCCCATACACCCTGCGACTGCTCTGACTTCCCTTGTCCCTGACTCTGACAGGTACAATGTGGGATGCACCAAACGAGTGGGGCTTTTCCACACGGACCGGAGCAAGCTGCAGAAGGCGGGAGCCACGACCCACAACCGCCGTCGGGCCAGCAAAGCGAGTCTGCCCACACTTACCAAGGATACCAAGAAGCAGGTGAGAAGGCTGGCGGAGCCACCCCCAGGACACCCACAGTCCTTTTCTGCTGCTGACATCAGCATGCCCTGTCCTGTTCCCATTTCTCCTAATCTGTCAGATCACGTCTTCCCCCTGTCCCTTCATTTAGACCCGTGGATGCTTATGAGATAACTTGCCCTGATTTTCAGTGACCTTGTCCCAACATCACCCCTCCCCTTTCATTTTTCCTCCATCCATGACATCTGGGGCCATGGAAACGGGGTCTCCCCTGCCCGGCTGTTCTGGCTACCTCCTGTCTGAGATGGAGGGCTGGGTGAGAAGGCAGCCTACACCATTACCTTGCCACTGTGCTGCTTCCGTGAACATTAGAGCACTGAGCCCTTGAAGGCCTCTACCAGCAACATGGGTGTTCATTCATTAAATATTTTTTTTTAGCACCAGCTGTGTGCCAGGAACTGTTAGGCACTAAGGCTCTCAGTTGCGTTAAAGAAACTGCAGCCTAGTGTGCTGCCTCAGAGCCGAATGCGTATTTTGCTGCTTGTTGTTATTGTTTTGGTTGTAAACTTCTTTAAGAATCTGATAAGAGCTACTCGTCTGTCCAAATGTACACACACAGGAATTTTCACACGCTGTTTCTGGTGGTTCATTGACCACCCCCTGAAATCCATGGAACTCTGGTTTAAAACCCCACACCTAGAAGGAACAGTGGACATGTAATCAGATAATCACACTCAAGTGTGGTACATGCTCCAATACTAACTAGAGCAGCTACCTCTGCTTAGCGTCAAGAGAGGGGACAGCACAGAGGATGCTTTATGACCTCGGAACTCAAAGATAGGTAGCGCTCGGCCAAGTACAGAAGGGAAATATACCTGCCTTTGCCCGTCACTGTGCTAGAGATGGTTGATTCCTTCGTCCTAAAGAAAACTGTTTCTCTCTGCTCCCAGCCAACAGGCACTGTACCCCTTTCAGTTACGGCTGCATTGCAGCTGACGCACAGCCAGGAAGACTCCAGCCGTTGCTCAGATAACTCAAGCTATGAGGAACCCCTGTCGCCCATCTCAGCCAGCTCATCCACCTCCCGCCGGCGACAAGGCCAGCGGGACCTGGAGCTCCCTGACATGCACATGCGGGACCTGGTTGGCATGGGACACCACTTCCTGCCAAGTGAGCCCACCAAATGGAACGTAGAAGATGTCTACGAGTTCATCCGCTCTCTGCCAGGTGAGGCCCTCGGAAGTTCCATGCCTGCCCGGAATAGCAAGGACTGAGGGAGGGAGAGATCTCACCTCCCACCATCCAGAAAGATTGGGCAGTTCACCTAATGACTCAGCTTCTGAGTAAGATGAGGTTTCTGCCTGTAAGAGCTTACACTCTAGCACAGAACACAGACTGTAAGTAATACTTTATAGCTAAAATTTGATACATTTATTGGCATGGTAAGTGGTTTGTGTGGAACGCAGAGGTGATAATGTAATTAATTCTGGGTTCCCTGTAGCAGGTTGGGAGGGGAGTCCAGTGGGAGTGTAGGAAATCTATCAAGGAGAACATCAAAATGAAGAGATTTAAACTAAAGGACCATGGACGAGTAGGCCCTTGCCAGATGAAGAGGGTGCCTCGGGGAGCAGCGTGAGCAGAGGCATGAACATGTGAAAGCCCATGACGTAGATGGGAACCCCACATAATCCTGTGCGCTGGAATGAAAGTGGTTTTGAGGGCTAGAATCTAAAAACGAACCTTGAAAGACACCTCCCATCATTCATGGGTGCTTTCAGTGGGACTCCGGAGCTTCTCTCCTGTTTTTCCTGCCAGCCCACCCCGCCACTGGCCAGGTCAGGTATTGACTGGAGCAGGGAATAGCGGTTAAGAGCTCCTGAGTCAGACAGAACTGGGCTCAAATCCTGGTTCTGCCAGTTGACCTGGTGTACTAACCATTGCGCATCCCTCAGATTGGTTACCACACAGTTACTGTGGGTAACTGAGGAATTCGGGAGTGGCTTGGCTGGGCAGTTCTGCCACAGGGTCTCTTACAAGGTCCTGATGAAGATGTCGGCCAAGGCTAAGGTCATCTAACGGCTTGATTGGGGCTATAGGATCCTCTTCCCAATCACATGACTCTTGAGTAGAGTACGACTGTTGGCAAGAGGCCCCATTCTCCACATGGGCCTCTCTAGAGCACTCATGCTTGAGTGTTCTCATGACATGGCAGCTGGTTTTTGCCACAGGTGGCGATCCAGGAGAGCAAGGTGGGAGCCACTGTACTCTTTCTGATCTGGGTTCAGAAGCCATATGTAGCACTGTCACTTCCACAGTATCGTATTGGTCACACAGGTCCATTCATTGTGTGAGGGGACTCATGAGGGCATGGAAGGGAAGCAAGGATCATTGGGAGCTATTTGGAGGCTGGCTACATAGTTCACCACTGGCCCCCGGTGATTCATGTTCCTCCCTCATGCAAAAATATTCTCGCCCCCTACCAGACTCCTCTTGAGTCTCATCCCATTACAGCAGCAGTTTGAAGTCCAGGATCTCGTCAGCTAACTCAGATCCAGGCACAATTGAGCTTCCTTGGGTCCAGCTCCTCAAATAACAGTTCCTCTCAATTTGAAGACCAGAGAACTAGACATAGGTTATCCATGTCCCTCCCCAAACCGAAGATATGGTGGGATAGGTAAGGATAACCGTTGTAGACATACCCATTCAAAAAGGAAAAAAACTGAGAGGATACAGGAGTCACTGATTCAGACCAGTTCTGAAATCTAGCATCTAGCAAGGCGAATCAGCATTTCCTTGATTAGGGCTTAAAGCCTGGGAGCGATTCTCTTTCACTCTTGGTTCCACCCTCTGTGTCATTCTTCCTCTCCCATGAAAGCTAGCCCTGCGGTTTTTTTGGTTTTTTTCCTTTTTTTTTTTAAGCTGAGCCATCCTGCTACCTGTTGGCAGCTCAGCGGCTGCTCAGCTCGGGCTGGACTCAAACCGCTGTTGCTCAGAGC